TGAGCCTCTCACTCCACCGGGTTACCACCTTAATTTTCTTCCACTCTGCTCACCACTCTCTCTACTCAGCCTAACTAGCTCCACCTGTCCCTGCTCTGCTCTGCTCTAATTACTCTGCCAGCTGCGTTGCATTACCCACTACCTCTCCCAGTATTTAAGGCCCTGTCTTTCAGCTCTCCGGTGTCAGATCGTCTGCAAAGCTCTCACCCGGAACCTGTTTGCTCGCGCTTCTGGCTCACCCTGGTTTTGTGACCCCGGACCTGCCTGATTTTTGGATACTCTTCTGCCCCAGGAGATCCAGACCTGCTTCTGCCATTACGACTCCTGACTACTCTGCAATCCCGGTAACTCTGACCAGCCTTCTGCCTTGCTACTACGTATTTTGGATTTCCCTTGAACTGTACTGCTGCCTTGTTTCATTCCGCCCTGTTGTGTCTGTGTCTTCCCCCCCCAGGACTTCTGGACCACCCACCACCGGCTTCATAGGACGCATCGCTGCCACTGGGGGGGGCACAGACCCAGCACATTGGACGGGATCCCTGTTACCCCTGGAGCCTTCATTCACTCCCTACTTCCCTTTTCCCTTAAGTTTTAATAAACTTTCTGGTGTGACGCAATTGTGGTCCTCTGGTCGTCTGTCTGAACCGTGACAGTATTTGCCGGAGGCATTTTTCTCTGTCACTTGAAAGGTCTTCAACAGGAAGATAAGTGTGAAGGCTTCTATAAACAGAAACCAAAAAATCTGCCCAAAAAGACATAGGCCTACTTCCTCATTTCATGCCATTTTATAAATGTGTCAATCATTCATAACAGAAGAAAAAGCAGCAATGAACATATATGATAGTAAGGACAGTACTATAAATATTATCTATAACTACTTCATTTAGTTTTGTTGTTGTTGATGTTTGTCAAAGAACACAGTGACGTCATGTAAAACATGACCTTGAATTGAATGACCTAAAAGGTATTTACATTCATCAAAGCTGTGGCACCGTCTTGTGCCATTCATGTGAAAACCAAGCCAGTCCAAGTAGGGCTAAATCAGCACAGATTTCCAGCAAGGTAAAGTAACGACTATAGCTAATTTTATACACTTCAAACTGAAAAGTATTTCCAGCTCTAGAATAATACAAGGAAAATGAAAGCATGAGTGATTGTCACGATCCATCCTTCAATGACTTTTAGCCCAATGACTGGCTTTCAACATCAAAGAAATTCAGTTCGCTTGGATCAGAGGAAGATGGCAGAGAGTCATAAATCTGCCTGTGATAAGTCACTTAAAAGAAAAGTAATCCCTATCAATTTTAGTTGACGTTGAAGACTGGATCCATGCATTCCCACTAGCTGGGCACAGCTGACAACTAGGCCTATGAACTGCTATTGTAAGGTTAACAATAAGCAGCCATTTTAAATATTTTATTCCATTATCCAAATGTAGATTTTCACAATATACCTCTCTTTTCTTCTTTTTTTTCAGATAGTAATGTATTTGTTATCCCTTTAATTTTCCAGATTGAATTATTTTCTTCTCCCCACCACAGCAGTACAGTCAGTGCTGTTCTAAATTATATTCTGGTGCAGCAGTGTCATATTGGGATGTACCTCTCATAAACCATACTTTACATCTATACTCAACCCCAGGGTTGAACCTCCTGCAACATAAAGTATAACACATTACTTTAAAGTAAGCACACATAGAATAATGTATCAAGTGCTGCAAATATCAACTCAATTTCGTCCTTTTCTCTGAGTGTTGGATGTCTATCTCTCTTTTCTCCTTTTTCTTTCTTATTTTCCCGTCATTAGGTAAACTGTTGGTACTCTTGGTCGGTATGCGAGTGCCTGAAGCAAGCAAGGATTCTGGGAGATGGACAGTTTCTCTTTCTCTCTCTCTCTCTCTCTCTCTCTCTCTCTCTCTCTCTCTCTCTCTCTCTCTCTCTCTCTCTCTCTCTCTCTCTCTCTCTCTCTCTCTCTCTCAGCAGTGTGCTATTAAAATCCAGAGACTCCAGTGTGTCTGCTCGCCTGTCACCTCCCACAGCCTCTTCACACGCAGGCAGGCAGCTCTTACCCAAACCAGGGCATGTCCTCCTCACTGACTCAGCCAGACAGACAAACTGTCTGCCTCACACACTTAACCCCTGAGACGACAAATACAGTTGCTCCTTCCTTAAGAACTTTTCAAATGGAACCTTTGTATGAAAAATATCATGATACATCATGTTTAACTACAGCTTTTTTTTTATTGCTTTGGTGCAATTTTCACAAGTATGTGGTACATTTTCTCAACTGTTATTCTCCTCACATGTGAAAAGGTGGCGTTAACATGTGAAGTCTAACTGTAATACATGTGAACATATGGTTTCACATGTGAACAACTGACCTCACGTGTCTGTTTTTGTTTTCCCTTGAACATTTCAGCTCAATGTATATATACACCTGTTCTGAAAGGCCCCATAGTCTACAACACCACTAAGCAAGGGGCACCACCAAGCAAGCGGCACCATGATGACCAAGGAGCTCTCTTAACAGGTCAGGGACAAAGTTGTGGAGAAGCACAGATCAGGGTTGGGTTATTTAAAAAATATCCAAAACTTTTAACATCCCACGGAGCACCATTAAACCCATTATTAAAAAATTGAAAGAATATGGCACCACAACCAACCTGCCAAGAGATGGCCACCCACCAAAACTCTTGGACCAGGCAAGGAGGGCATTAATCAGAGGGGCAACAAAGAGACCAAAGATAACTCTGAAGGACCTGCAAAGCTCCACAGCGGAGATTGGAGTATCTGTCCATAGGACCACTTTAAGCCTTACACTCCACAGAGCTGGGCTTTATGGAAGAGTGGCCAGAAAAAAGCTATTACTTTTTTTTTTTATTAAGCAAACTTTTGGTGTTTGCCAAAAGCGATGTGAGAGACTCCCCAAACATATGGAAGATACTCTGGTCAGATGAGAATAAAAGTGAGCTTTTTGGCCATCAAGGAAAACGCTATGTCTGGCGCAAACCCAACACCTCTCATCACCCCGAGAACACTATCCCCACAGTGAAGCATGGTGGTGGCAGCATCATGCTGTGGGGATGTTTTTCATTGGCAGGGACTGGTCAGAATTGAAGGAATGATGGATGGCGCTAAATACAGGGGAAAAAAATATATATTTTTTTGTCATTTAGCAGAAGCTCTTATCCAGAGCGACTTACAGTTAGTGAGTGCATACATTTTTTCATACTTGAGGGAAACCTGTTTCAGTCTTCCAGAGATTTGAGACTGGGACGGAGGTTCACCTTCCAGCAGGACAATGACCCTAAGCATACTGCTAAAGCAACACTCAAGTGGTTTAAGGGGAAACATTTAAATGTCTTGGAATGGCCTAGTCAAAGCCCAGACCTCAATCCAATTGAGAATCTGTGGTATGACTTAAAGATTGCTGTACGCCAGCGGAACTCATCCAACTTGAAGGAGCTGTTGTAGTTTTGCCTTGAAGAATGGGCAAAAATCCCAGTGGCTAGATGTGCCAAGCATATAGAGACATACCCCAAGATCCTTGTAGCTGTAATTGCTGCAAAAGGTGGCTCTACAAAGTATTGACTTTGGGGGGTGAAAAGTTATGCACGCTCAAGTTCTCTGTTTTTTTGTCTTATTTCTTGTTTGTTTCAAAAACATTTTTTTGTTTAATCTTCAAAGTGGTAGGCAAGTTGTGTAAATCAAATGATACAACCCCCCCAAAAAAATCCATTTAAATTTCAGGTTGTAAGGCAACAAACTTACTTATACTTTCGCAAGCCACTGTACATGAACAATGAGGATATTTACTGCGATATCGATCAAAACCTATGGCCAAATGCTCAAGATAGGCTTGATGCAAACTAATGCCTGCTAAACATTGTTTCTTTAATTTGATTACATTGTGAAAGATGTCTTCAATGATCACACTTTTGATCACATGTGGGATAGAAATGATGGACATTTGATGTTCAGTCAATATTAATGGGTAGTGCAAGTGTATTGCCTAATGTGAAAACAGTGTAATGTACTGTAATTTACAGTACTGTAGCACACTACATTTAAAGGGCAATTTAGAAACATGTATCTTACATGTTTTGCTATTGGATTAACTGGTTGTTAAAATAACTAAATTGAGAATATATCATTATGTTGTGTTTTTGTGATTAAACCAATATACTTATTATATTTCACAGTAAACTTGTATTTTGGATCAATGTTTGTGTGGTGAAAGATGTCTACAAACAAAATGAATGCACAATGAAAGGTTTTGAATGTAAGACTGGCTGCATTGCAAGTGTTACCAGTTTGGAGTTTTGTACTAACAGTTTTTAAAAAATCACCACATACTTGTGAAAGTAGTACCAATGTGATAAAAAAAAAAAACTGTAATATAACATTTGATTCCATCTCAATAGGGATCAAGCTCTAAGCTCCTATATATTTATTGGTCTGGACTGTTAATATATCATGTCTACTATTCCATTTTGTCTTACAACTGCTTCAATGGATCATTTGTATAAAGAAGATTATGGAAACAAGATTTGAATGTTATCTCAAGGGGTCATTTACATCTGTGTGTGTGTGTGTGTGTGTGTGTGTGTGTGTGTGTGTGTGTGTGTGTGTGTGTGTGTGTAAATATTACATAATTTCAATTGGTGCAAATATAATTAATAAAAACAAAAACTTTATTATTCACTCAAAAGACTACCTATAAAATGTTTCTCAAGCACCAAAGTGCCACAATCAGATGTTTGAAGTTCTCTAATTTCTACTAACAGATCAATAGAGTATAAAATAGGCTACATTATAAATAACAACCTGAGTTTATGGCTTTTACCAAAAATCTATTGCAAACACAAAGTACCAATTACAGATTTTTATTTCCTATAGTTCTCTGCAACTTCCAAGATATGTTTTGTTTTGATGCATTGTGAAATAAAAATGTGTATGGCTCAATATGTGAATTGAGCCTTAATTACATCTATATAAATGCAACATATGGCAAGTATAATATATAAATGTATGAAAATGGTACACGCTACTTCCATGTATCTGTGTGTTTCATATTGTGAAGAAACAAAGGGTGTTGAATGCACTGACAGTATATATTTATAGCTATAGATCAAAGAATCTGAAAGGACCTTTTTCATTGTTCAGTTAAAGGTCCCACAGTGGACCACTGTAAAGGAAAGTGCCACCAAATAGGTTGCTATTCCATCCATTCTCATATCAAATCTCTCCAACAGAGTGAAATGAGCCACTGATAACATTAGCAACTCATCACTCTATCTAAACAGAACATGGATTTGGATTTGTCCATTCTTTTTGTATACAGTTCCTCTGTTTTGAATCTAAAAGGAACAACAGAGACAACATGTCCTTGTGCATGTTTCCCAACTTGTCCGTGAACTTCAGCCTTCTAGGCTTTATTTCCATGTTGATGGACCACAGTTTGGACCGATACATTTTGTGTTAGTACACCGCCCCCATATTCTTTGGTGGTGTTGTTGTGTGCTGAAGAACCAGTCCTGAGTGCTGTGAGCGTGACTGTGAGGTCTGTTGATACCAGTGTTGAGTGTAGTCCTCCACATAACATAGAGAGGAGCTGAGGGAGGGCTGGAGAGCCGGCTCTCTAGTGGCGGGGTCTGTGGGTACACTACTGTCCCAAATGGCCGGGGACGGGGGTGAATTGCAGGTCATAGAGTCACTGGCTCCAGGGCTGTGGTCCAGTGGAACTTCCCCGTTCGTGTACAACTTCTTGAATTTGGAACGCCGATTCTGGAACCAGATCTTGACCTGGAAGAAAAAATATTTGAGCTACAGGTTTAAATAGAAGGTCGGGATGTTTGTACCAGAACATGTGAATGCATGGGTTAAAAATGTATTATCTAGCAAAGTGTTGTAATTTCATATTGACACCCTAGGCCTTATTAGAATAGAATATACCTAATTATGTTGCATTGAAATTTGGAATCCAGATGCAAACTTAGATCTATTAATGAAGCTATCAATTCTCAGATATGAAAACGACAGGGAAGAGGTTAATAACCCCGGTGGTTTGAAATATAATATAAACAATACCGTTTTCTTTATCGCTTTGGTACTATTTTTACAAGTATGTGGTAAATTGTAAGATACATGTTTCAAACTTGACCTTTGAATGTAGTATGCTACAGTACTGTAAATTACAGTACATTACACTGTTTTCACATTAGGCAATACACTTGCACTACCCATTAAAATTGACTGAACATCAAATTTCCATAATTTCTATCCCATGTGTGATCAAAGGTGTGATCATTGAAGACATCTTTCACAATGTAATCAAATAAAATAAATGAAAGAAACATAAGTTTTAGCAGGCACTAGTTTGCATTAAGCCTGTCTTGAGCATTTGGCCATAGGTTCTCATTGACATCACAGTAAAATGTCCTCATTGATCATGCACCTGGGGAAAAACCTTTTGTCATGGCAAACTTCATTTTGGATACATGTTTATTGTATAGGGGATGCATTTCTTTCTTGACTTGGACTTTCTGGATGATTTGTGTATTGGTATTGTATTGATATTGTATTACTGCAGTGTTGGAGCTAGAAACACAATCATTTCACTGCACCTGCTGTAACATCTGCTAATCTGTGTACGTGACCAATAAACGTTGATTTGTTACATACAGTACATCTCTGATCTTGTCTATCAGATTTATTTTTTACTTACTGTGAAGCAAAATCATAATAGTCATTATCATAGTAGTACATTCGAGTATATATCATATTATTTTATGTTTCTACTTTACAGACATACTTTTTCATTATGTAATTCTCATAATCTGTAGCAGACAAACTAGTTTACGTGTACAATCTATAGGTTTACCAAACGTTTAAGTGATCATCAATTAAGAACAGTCGGATTAAGTTATAGTAACGTCTTTTAACAAAAGAAAAGAGAATCATATCAAAAGTAATGTGAGCATTGCATTGTGAAAGGCAATTACTTTATATGAACATGTATTGAAATGTGAAACATGTATTTCTAGATGAAACACTGATTACATTTAATGAAAAAGTGACTGTATGATTTTGTGTTTTGTACTATGTCAATTGAACACGTGCTCAGAGTTTTAAAACAACTGCCTTTTTGATGATCTGTTTTGGAGTTTTGTACTAAGAGTGGTGAAAATGTACCACATACTTGTGAAAATAGAAAGCGACAAAAAAACCTGTAACATCTCAGATGATTCACTAGGTGTAGACCTAAAGTATGCAAAATAGATGCCAGTATAGGTCATGGTTTTATTGAACAAATGAACATAAATCATAGAGGTATAAATCTCTCAACAGCGTGTCATAACAGTGGTATGTGTGGCCTATTGGCTTCCTCACCTGTGTTTGTGTCACGCCGAGTTGAGCCGCTAGTTCGGCTCTCTCAGGAAGAGACAAATACTGAGCTCCCTGGAAGCGATGTTGCAACGCAGCGAGCTGGTAACTAGAATATATAGTGCGAGGTTTTCGGATTTTTCTAGGCTTTCCGTTGACCATTCTCACCTCAGGCTCTGGTTCCTCTTTCACTGAAAAATGAAAAATGACAACAGAGCATTAGTTGGCTAAAGGACTTGAGAGGCTCATACATTTACAGTATGCCTACAGAGGGCTTAAACAGTAGGCTATAGGCCTATGCCTACAGAAAAAAAGTATTACGATAACAGATGAATGAAAAGTATTATGATAACAGATGAATGAATTGATTATATATATTTCATTAGTCAACATCATTTTTTTACCAGTTCTGAAATATGCTTTACTCAAAAGCCTAAGGAGGGTTTGGTGCACAAAATGTCTCTGTCCAAGAGATTCCAATGCCCCTCACATTATTATGGGATATGCCACTAATGAGAGGGAATGATTGGTGCATTGAGTATATAGGCTCTATAGCCTTCATGTATTGTTTGGGGTGTTTTCACATGCAGTGATCAAGTCAAAACTCTAAGACAGGCTATTGAGCCAAAAAGCAATGCGTGCCAGACTGACATGTCATGACAACTGATGTGTGTATCTGGGCCAATTCAAAGAGAAAGATTCTTCCTGGAATGCCAATGCCACCTGCTAAACGGTATGTTATAGGGCCTAGATACCTAAACATATTTGGATGAAACCAGATCAAAGTTTGATGACCAATGTATGAAATGTATGACTGTTGCTTCTACATTGATAAAGTTTGATCATAAAGTTACTGGTCCCCTCCCCCATGTCAATCACTTGGATTCAGGAGGCGGGATTATTAAGGCGATAGGGTATCATCACCTTAATTTTCTCTTACCTAATTTAAATAGGTACCGCCTTGTAACCAACATCGGGGAAGGCATGTTTGCAGAGGGGCATGGTTTATATAGCTAGATAGCTACTCTACTGTGCCAAAATTGGACGGTAGGGTATCAGCAAATATAATTAAAAGTGTACCATATTCATCTATGGCAAAGATACGTTTATGTTTCCCCTTTCATCTGTGTCTGGTGTTAGCTAGTTACTGGTTAGCTAGGTCTTCAGCCAGCATGGCACAAAAGGGGGGAAGGGTCGTTCAAAACACTGACGCAGTTGTCATGTCAACACATCCGTCAGTGCTGCTGTGAACCGCATTCCAAGAGACATGCCAAACAGGAGATGTATAAAAACATTTTTGACATCATTGATGCAGTTTCAATGTTGTTTGAGTTGCTTTGTGTTTCACCAAATTTGCTTGAGATGATTTTACTGCAACACTGCAACCATGTTGCTTGACATAGGCGTTTCAAAGAGCTATCAGTCAAGGCGAGCTTATGAATATAAGCTCCCCGCCCACTCAGCCTGTCGTTTCAAACTTCCTGGTGGTTAGCCATGAGAGAAAAAATGACTTTCTCATATTTTGAGCATTTCTATCCAAAACGAATATTATGGGTGATATTTTAGTCACTCAAAAGGGTATTTTACATGGGAATCCAAATAACTGTTTGGTACCTTTAAGCATTTTTGACAAAAATACAAATGGGTAGGCTATAGCTGTTTTTATTTTAATTTAAATGTTGACAAATATCACATTGTTAGCTTTGCAGCCTAGAATGCAGAATAGCAAAAAATATATTCTGAATTCTTGACATATTGTCTATAGGCCTAGGCCTACTCCATTTGCATAGCCTATCCTTACAGAAAAAATTGTGATCACGTGATCTAATGTGAAGTTAATGTGATAACATGTGAAACATGTAAAAGCAACACGTGATAACATGAAAGTAGCTCAGCTGGTAGAGCACGGCGCTTGTAACGCCAAGGTAGTGGGTTCGATCCCCGGGACCACCCATACACAAAAAATGTATGCACGCATGACTGTAAGTCGCTTTGGATAAAAGCTTCTGCTAAATGGCATATTATATTATATTATTAAAGTACACGTGAAAACATTTTAGCACATATGAAATCATCATCTCATGTGAAATAAATGTGACAACATGGGGATTTAAAATTTCAACACGTGATACCATGAAACTACACGTGACAACATTTTAACGTTTTTCACATGTGAAAGTGCAAATTTCACATTGAATCTGCAATTTACATGTGAAGTGAAAACATTATTATCCTCACATGTGAAAAGGTGGTGAACATGTTAGCTATATATTGAACATGAATAGACTATATTGAACATATTTCACATTTGAACAACTGACCTCACTTGTCCACTTTTGTTTTCACATGTGAACATTTCAGATCAACATGTGAAAACAGTTATTTCACATGTGAAACTGCAAATGTCACATGTTTTTTTGTAAGGGAAGTAATGAAATGGTATGGGGATTTTAAATGTGGAATCCATAGTTGAAGTCGGAAGTTTACATAGACCTTAGCCAAATACATTTAAACTCAGTTTTTCACAATTTCTGACATTTAATCCTAGTAAAAGTTCCCTGTCTTAGGTCAGTTAGGATCACCACTTTATTTTAAGAATGTGAAATGTCAGAATAATAGTAGAGAGAATTATTTATTTCAGCTTTTATTTCTTTCATCACATTCCCAGTGGGTCAGAAGTTTACATACACTCAATTAGTATTTGGTAGCATTGCCTTTAAATTGTTTAACTTGGGTCAAACGTTTCGGGTAGCCTTCCACAAGCTTCCCACAATAAGTTGGGTGAATTTTGGCCCATTCCTCCTGACAGAGCTGGTGTAAGTCAGGTTTGTAGGCCTCCTTGCTCGCACACGCCTTTTCACTTCTGCCCACAAATGTTCTACATGATTGTGGTCAGGGCTTTGTGATGGCCACTCCAATACCTTGACTTTGTTGTCCTTAAGCCATTTTGCCACAACTTTGGAAGTATGCTTGGGGTCATTGTCCATTTGGAAGACCCATTTGCGACCAAGCTTTAACTTCCTGACTGATGTCTTGAGATGTTGCTTCAATATATCCACATCATTTTCCTTCCTCATGATGCCATCTATTTTGTGAAGTGCACCAGTCCCTCCTGCAGCAAAGCACCCCCACAGCATGATGCTGCCACCCCCGTGCTTCACGGTTGGGATGGTGTTCTTCGGCTTGCAAGCAACACCCTTTTTCCTCCAAACATAATGATGGTCATTATGGCCAAAAAGTTATATTTTTGTTTCATCAGACCAGAGGACATTTCTCAGTGGCTTCTTCCTTGCTGAGCGGCCTTTTAGGTTATGTCGATATAGGACTTGTTTTACTGTGGATATAGATACTTCTGTACCTGTTTCCTCCAGCATCTTCACAAGGTCCTTTGCTGTTGTTCTGGGATTCATTTGTACTTTTCCAAAGTATGTTCATCTCTAGGAGTCAGAACGTGTCTCCTTCCTGAGCGTATGAAGGCTGTGTGGTCCCATTGTGTTTATACTTGCGTACTATTGTTTGTACAGATGAACGTGGTACCTTCAGGCGTTTGGAAATTGCTCCCAAGGATGAACCAGACTTGTGGAGGTCTACAAATTTTGTGGAGTGGTTGAAAAACGAGTTTTAATGACTCCAACCTAAGTGTATGTAAACTTCCGACTTCAACTGTACATTTTGGGACTTTAATTATCAATTAATGATATATACCCATTGATTCTTGAATAATACAACTTATAAATGCCTCACGAGCTTAGATCAACTGTCGTACCCCATCAGAACCCAAAATACAAGCTTGTTTTACGCCAATGTTTGTAAACAATGTAAATGCAAACAAACACTGTATAGCCTCAAAACATGGTTAAAACTATAATTGTGATATCATGGATCAATAGCTCTTTCTATGAATTTGAGAGTGGTTACATTTATCCAGGCCCATCTCTCAGCTTTTTACCAAAACACAGGCAGGGTGCCAGCTTTGTTATTGTTTCAATTAAGGGTTCTAGCTTTAATGTAAATCGTACATTGTTGAGCTAAAGTGTGTAATAAAAAAGTGTAGAAATCTTTAATCAATATGATTCCATTCCAAAGTCCCCTACAGATTCATTACCATAATACATATCTGCACTTAGCTAAAGACTGACATCTGCACTGCTATTTTAGCTATGAATTAATCTGACTACTCTCTCATCACTGATTTCGTTTACTTATCTCAGCATTTGAGGGGTTTCTGTATAGTTGTCTAATGTTGGTGGGGCATATTATTCTGTTTTAATGTTCCTCCTGAATCATTATGATAAATACAATAGTTTTTCATGAGTGTATTATACAAAGCTGAGATTTACTTTTAAGTCCAATGTAGGAATACAGGTGAAATCAATCATTGACACAGACATGGTGGCGTAGCAGGAAGATCGGAATGCCGTGAACCAAGAGGTTGTGAGTTCATATCGCACATGTTGAGTAATAATTACTGTAGAAATAAACATACACAATGTAATCATGTATGTAAAGTACTGTATGTAGCTAAGTGGAAAACACTGGCTATTTCGTGACTTTCCGGGGACATCATAATTACGTTTTGTTCGCAGGGCATCATGTGATTTTTTTTATCCATGTGAAACTTCATGTGAAATATCATCACATGTAAAGTGTTCCAAAACCACATGGTTTCACATCAACTACATTAGGCCTACCTTTACGGAAAAACCACATGTGTTTTTTCCGTAAAGGTAGGCCTAATTTAGTTGATAAATTATTCCAAATCAAAAGTACGCTAATTTACACTATTTTCAAAACCGTTGAACTCCCAACTCCTATAAATAGAATTTTAAATAGACAAATTTAAATTATGTGGCATAAAGGTTGGTCCTCGTTGTCGATAAGCGATAGCATACGCGTTTTGGATGGTTAATTTAACTTGGGCAACATTGACACGTCGAAACAAAGTATTAATAAACATATCTTCGAGACAACTCTTTATTTACCAAAAATGGCCTCGCGTCTCATGCGTAAATCTTACCGATATCTTGGAGATGTGACTGTATGTCCCGGGTATAATGAGCGTATTGCGTATGGGGATAAGGGTATTCCGACTTGGCAATGTAGGCCCCCGATAGCGCCATCCCATGGAGATTGTAGTGGTGATGATACGAGTATGGCTTCATTGGTTGCGTGTAGGACTGGCCGTGGCTGGGGTAGTAGTCGTGGTGGCTGTGCGTCGTCTGGCCGCTGTAGAACCCCATGTCCATGGCAGAGGACTTTGGCAGCGTCGGCAAATCCTTGGCGCCCGGGTGACAGCTCAGTGTGGCGTGGAGATCAGACGACAGGCTCGATGCCGCCTTCTCAGAAGTCGTTCCATTCATCCTGCACTGCCCTCCTTCACCCCCCTAATAAAAACCTCCAGAAATAGTGGAGACTTGTAAGAAAGTCCTAGTAAGTTGAAATACAAGTTTGAAAATAAAACATAAACTCCCAAAAATAAAACCAAAGCAATAGGCCTATTGTGAAGCGTTGAACTCCTCTGAGTCTATCCAAAGTCCCTCGGCAAGACTGCACTGCAATGTACTGTACTGTTGCAGCACCCAACCCAACTGAACTCAAAATTACAGAGCGAGGGGAGTGGATGCTTCATTCCCATTGGTTCCAAACAGTCTCTGCTTCGTTTACCCGGAGGGCTAAACTGTGTCGCCAGCCAGGCTACACTCCTCTCCCCACGAAAACCTCCAGAACCTCCCCCCGGCCCGAACCACAGTCCCACAACTTTTCTGAAAGTAGAAGAGACATTTTCTGTTGGTTGTGTTTATTACGCCTAATTAAGACATATTTAGTCAACGTTTAACTGTCTGCAACAATGATTTGCACCTTTCTTCACTGGAGTTGTGCATAACAAAAAAGAAACGTCGCCTAAATGCATAGATTTGGGCCTAGGCTATTTATTCATGGTCTTTAAGATCAATTTGATAGCCTAATTAATATTTAGGTTGGCTTGTGACTTGCCCTAGGAGTGGCAGCCCTAGAATTGGGTCGTCACTAGTTACCACAATCACAAAGTCATAAACCCCGCCTATTTCTACCATTTCTCTTCTCAAAATCTGATTTTTAACCTAACCGTAACCTCAACCCTAACCTTAACCATACTGCTAACCTTATGCCTAACCCTTTTTGTTTTCATGAATTTTTACGATAGCCTATAGCCAATGTTGACTTTGTGGCTGTGGTAACTAGTGGAAACCCCTACACGTGGCCATTCTATTTCCATCCTCCAAAACAACCCAAAAAGTGGGTTAATGACACCATGGTTTTGAGAAGTCTAGGTAAATTGTGTGTAATTCGACTTTTCGTTGATTATCAGATATGCAGCAAATGATGGCCTACCAGCCTAACAAAACGTAATTAACTCATATAGCCTATAGATAATGGCATGTGAAACTCTCATGAAGGGGTGTCAAAAAAGATAGATCAACCTTCGCTTTCCTCTTTTAACTTCCATGGTTGAACGTTTTTAACTATTAGCAATGGACAAGGTTCTACAGAGCCCCTTAGGGATCATGATGGGGGGTTAAACAGCCAGGCTAATCAGTATATATCCGTTTTATATATACTGTATATCCATTCCTACCTTTATTATTATTTTATTTTATTTTTTAATTGCTCCTGAACTCCTTGTGGATTTATGTAGCCTATCTCTCAGCCTGGTCTCAGACTAGAGGTAACATAGTAAATGTAAATCTGAAACACTCAAATTTGTATGATATGTCACGTTTGGTATGGAGTTCGAATCTCATTACAGACAACTTTAGCATTTTAGCTAATGAGCAACTTTTCAACTACTTACTTATTTTTAGCTACTTTGCAACTACTTAGCATGTTCCTAACCCTTTCCCTAACTCTAAGATTTACCCTTTAACTTAACGCCTAAACTTAACCCTAACCTTAACACTAACCCCTAACTAATGCTAGCCAGCTAGCTAACGTAACATATCATACGTTTGCAAATTTGTAACAAATAGTATGTTTAGCAAATTCGTAACACATTGTACTTTTTGCAAATTCGTAACTTATAATACGAATTGTAATTCGGAACATATTCTACGAAATAGGTGATGACATCCACAAATTAATACATACCATACAAAACATATACTAAATCTCAGATACACATACAGAATAATACAAAATGCTCTGAGACCAGGTTGGATCTCTAAATATACAGTGGGGGGAAAAAAGTATTTAGTCAGCCACCAATTGTGCATGTTCTCCCTACTTAAAAAGATGAGAGAGGCCTGTAATTTTCTTCATAGGTACACGTCAACTATGACAGACAAAATGAGAAAAACAAATTCAGAAAATCACATTGTAGGATTTTTAATGAATTTATTTGCAAATTATGGTGGAAAATAAGTATTTGGTCAATAACAAAAGTTTCTCAATACTTTGTTATATACCCTTTGTTGGCAATGACACAGGTCAAACGTTTTCTGTAAGTCTTCACAAGGTTTTCACACACTGTTGCTGGTATTTTGGCCCATTCCTCCATGCAGATCTCCTCTAGAGCTGTGATGTTTTGGGGCTGTCGCTGGGCAACACAGACTTTCAACTCCCTCCAAAGATTTTCTATGGGATTGAGATCTGGAGACTGGCTAGGCCACTCCAGGACCTTGAAATGCTTCTTACGAAGCCACTCCTTCGTTGCCCGGGCGGTGTGTTTGGGATCATTGTCATGCTGAAAGACCCAGCCACGTTTCATCTTCAATGCCCTTGCTGATGGAAGGAGGTTTTCACTCAAAATCTCACGATACATGGCCCCATTAATTATTTCCTTTACACGGATCAATCGTCCTGGTCCCTTTGCAGAAAAACAGCCCCAAAGCATGATGTTTCCACCCCCATGCTTCACAGTAGGTATGGTGTTCTTTGGATGCAACTCAGCATTCTTTGTCCTCCAAACACGACGAGTTGAGTTTTTACCAAAAAGTTATATTTTGGTTTCATCTGACCATATGACATTCTCTCAATCCTCTTCTGGATCATCCAAATGCACTCTAGCAAACTTCAGACGGGCCTGGACATGTACTGGCTTAAGCAGGGGGACACGTCTGGCACTGCAGGATTTGAGTCCCTGGCGGCGTAGTGTGTTACTGATGGTAGGCTTTGTTACTTTGGTCCCAGCTCTCTGCAGGTCATTCACTAGGTCCCCCCGTGTGGTTCTGGGATTTTTGCTCACCGTTCTTGTGATCATTTTGACCCCACGGGGTGAGATCTTGCGTGGAGCCCCAGATCGAGGGAGAATATCAGTGGTCTTGTATGTCTTCCATTTCCTAATAATTGCTCCCACAGTTGATTTCTTCAAACCAAGCTGCTTACCTATTGCAGATTCAGTCTTCCTAGCCTGGTGCAGGTCTACAATTTTGTTTCTGGTGTCCTTTGACAGCTCTTTGGTCTTGGCCATAGTGGAGTTTGGAGTGTGACTGTTTGAGGTTGTGGACAGGTGTATTTTATACTGATAACAAGTTCAAACAGGTGCCATTAATACAGGTAACGAGTGGAGGACAGAGGAGCCTCTTAAAGAAGAAGTTACAGGTCTGTGAGAGCCAGAAATCTTGCTTGTTTGTAGGTGACCAAATACTTATCTTCCACCATAATTTGCAAATAAATTCATTAAAAATCCTACAATGTGATTTTCTGGATTTGTTTTTCTCATTTTGTCTGTCATAGTTGATGTGTACCTATGATGAAAATTACAGGCCTCTCATCTTTTTAAGTGGGAGAACTTGCACAATTGGTGGCTGACTAAATACTTTTTTCCCCCACTGTAAATAGGAAGAGTGTCTTCTGTCTGGCCACTCTACCATAAAGGCCTGATTCTTGGAGAGCTGCAGAGATGGTTGTCCTTCTGGAAGGTTCTCCCATCTCCACAGAGGAACTCTAGAGCTCGGGTTCTTGGCCCTTCTCTCCCGACTGCTCAGTTTGGCCGGGCGGCCAGCTCTAGGAAGAGTCTTGGTGGTTCCGAACTTCTTCCATTTAAGAATGATGGAGGCCACTGTGTTCTTGGGGACCTTCAATGCTGCAGAAATGTTTTGGTACCCTTCCCCAGATATGTGCCTCAACACAATCCTGTCTCGGAGCTCTATGGACAATTCCTTTGACCTCATGACTTGGTTTTTGCTCTGAGATGCACTGTCAACTGCGGGGCCTTATATAGACAGGTGTGTGCCTTTCCAAATCATGTCCAATCAATTGAATTTACCACAGGTGGACTCCAAGTTGTAGAAACATCTCAAGGATGATCAATGGAAACAGGATGCACCTGAGCTCAATTTCGAGTCTCATAGCAAAGGGTCTGAATACTTATGTAAATAAGGTGTTACTGTTTTAAATTTTTTATAAATATGCAAAAAAGTCTAAACCTGTTTTTGCTTTGTCATTATGGGGTATTGTGTGTAGATTGAGGAACCTTTTTATTTTAATCAATTTTAGAATAAGGCAGTAACGTAACAATGTGGAAAAAGCGAAGGTTTCTGAATACTTTACAAATGCACTGTATAACCATGTAAAACATGGTGCAGCCAAGCATCTGGATGTGTTTGTTTACAATTGTGCATGGGACTCATCTGAGACAAAGGAAAGGCATGCACATTTATTGTGTGTAATTTTGGTGTTAACAGGTGCAATGATGCACTCTCATCCCTGCGATAGGTGAACATCTTGTGTGACATAGCCAACCAGACACAAATGGTTTAAAGCGGCTTGGGCTCTATTTTCATAACTAAATATAACCCATTTCCATCCAACTTTTTTATACTAGTAAAGTATGTCAGATAAAAAATGTAATGACAGGCCTGATGGAAACAGAACGTTTGTCGGGAACCTTTCCAAATGTCGACAAAACAAAATATACTAGACAAGGTTGGATCTTTTTGTCAGTAAAATTAATTATACTAGAAATGTTGGCGGAAACACTTTTATGCTCAAATATTGATATAATAACCATATCGAAGTAAACTTGGAGTCACGCGATGACATATTGTGTGGTTCTCCCACTATGACTTGTCAGGAAAGCATGCAGTTTATATGCTGATTTCAAAACAACTGAACTCAGAACTTTAGTGACTTTTATCAATATTTTCGCTTGTATTTACCCCCCAAAAAAATTATGCCAATTAGCTGCTAATGTGGCTATCATAAAGAACTACAAAATCCATGATGATCTGGACGAGACTGCCGAATCGAGGTAAATGTAAGAATCTCTGGATTAACTATCTAATGTTAGCCAAATTTAGTAATTCATAAATTGGCTAACTTTCTTTAAAATGACAATTCTGTGAACTGTCTTGTGCAAGTTTCAAATCGACAGAATACCTGTTAGCAAAGGTGTCAGCTAGATATGATGTGCAGGAGCTTGAAGGGATGTGTAGTCTTGCATGATGTCTACTTTGATGCTAATTAGCATTTTCGAATCTGAGAGTAAATGGAGCTGAATATATTGATAAAAGTTACCTTGTCCGAGAGAGATATACATGGTTATCAAAACGTCACACCAGGGTAAGCCTACATAAAACACAGCCCTTATTTTAAGTGGTTCTAAAATTCCCTATGGGAAACATAAATGGTGGGAAAACGATTCAAACCATTTCCCTGTTTGACTGCTAGGTTTTATGGGTATTATGACACCTCCACTGTGGGGCTCTATCAAGATAAATAATAATGCCATGGTTCGTTGGACAAAGGCTATGATGAAAATGTATGGCATTTTTGTAGTTTTTGGATAAACGCAGAAAATAAGGTCTGTGGTAAACACAGGTTTAGATTTTATAGGCTACGTTTTGTTCTATGAGATAATCTTCATCAGCTAACATCACGTTTTGTGAATTTTGAAGAATTTATGTAGGCTAATAATAAAAAACAAATCACATGAAAGTTTCATCATTCATAAAGGTAATGTTAACTGACTGCTATTATCTAATAGAACATATCCTAAACCTGTGTTAACCTCAGACCTTATTTTCTGCGTTTATTCCAAAATCCTATTCTTTCCCCATACATTTTTCCGATTGGGATGGATTGCTCAACGAACCAGAGGTATTTTATTTCCGGGTTTTAGGACTAAAAACAGGCGAGCTCTATTAGGCTACAGATTAAATAGCCTACCTTTTTTTTTTTTTTATGATGAAATTCACTGGGTGGTGAAATGTAAGTGCAATATGATGAGCACGATGCTCCTTTCCAACAAATATCGAGGGTTTTATTCTGGTGACATGGATCATCGATGCTTGGCTCCCATTTGACAAATAAAAATAATATCGCTATTTTGTCAATAATAGCATAATCTCATGTATCTGCGAGCTGTTGGATAGAGCGCACGTGCCAATACCAGAGTGGGCACAATCGCTAATGCAAAACATTTTTGTCAGAAAACCAACACTGGAGTTGAAAATGCAATGGAAACCCATTTAACATGTATTTTTTCGGTACATGGGAATTTAACCGCAAAAGGTATTTTTATGTGCATATGACACCACGCACCACATCCTTTTATCCCTAACAAGACAATCTATGGTGGTAAAATGCGCATAGGTCCTATTGTTTTTATGCAGATTTTAGAAAATTGGCATGAAAATCTGGCGCCAACTTAGTTAGTAACCACGTTTGCATCCACTGTTTTTATGTGAGTAAAGTCATACTGTAGCCTATAATTTTTTTTCTAAACAGCTGTGATGGAAACAGGAAGTTTTGGTACAATTTTATAAATGGCATCAGATAATTTGTTCGTTTGACATGGTGGGATCTTTTTATGTCGGTAAAATGTATTATTTGCGAAATGGCGGTTGAAACGCCTTTATGCGCAGGTATTGAAATATCCTAATAACCATCACATCTAAGTAAACTTGGAGTCACTATGACTCGGGAAACCATGCAGTTTCGTAGGCTACAAATGAAATGAATGATGATTAACTTCCCAGTGCTTCCCAGGGTGGTGAACGTACACGGTGATGAGTTTGATGCTGCTTTCCAATAAATATCTATGGTTTTATTCTGGTTGACATGATGATAGATGCTTGACAAATACAAATATTCTCGCAATTATCCATAATAATCTCGACTAGCCTACCCGCACTGTTGGCTAGAGCACACGTGCCAAGACCAGAGTAGGCGCATTTGCTATTAAATGTAACAGTTTTTGTGCCAAAACTATTGGTAGAGTTTAAAATGCGATGGAAACACATTTAACTTATTCCGTACATGAAAATTTGAGCAAAAACATCCATTGTGAGCTCTACCATCCCCTGTAGCTCAGTTGGTAGAGCATGGCGCTTGCAACGCCAGGGTTGTGGGTTCGTTTCCCACGAGGGGCCAGTATGAAAAATGTATGCACTAACTGTAAATCGCTCTGGATAAGAGCGTCTGCAAAAAAAGGTAAATGTAATACATCACGCACTGATTTTTTAATCCGCAACAAGTCCGTTTGGTGGTAATATCCCACTGGTGGGAAAATGCGCATATTTTCTTTATGCAGATTTTTGAATATTCTCATGAAAATCTGTCGCCAATTGGATGGAAACCTAGCTACTGATAGCTATTTGCTTTGTTGCAATTACAATATGTTCACCTGGAAATTAGCTAATTGTCAGGCTAGGGTATAGGTAGCTAAAGAACTCCTCCGAAGTACAGATATAGAACAGTTAACGTCATGAAGCAGAGCCAGACGTAATTCCTGCCTAGGGATGAGCGCGCATCGTTACACCAGATTTGCACCTTGAGTGGTTTTGCACGCCCATTAGTATTATTTTCCCTTATGATTCAGAGGAATATGAAAACACTATGGCAAATGGAAATAAGCTATTGAATTGTCAGTGATCATCACCATTTGAAGCATGTAGTTAACTAAATATAATTACATTTAGGCTGCAATTTGTTATCCGCCAAGTGGGACCATCATGGTAGCCTACATAAAGAGAAGAGGGAACTAATAAAGAATCTGAGGGAATGGATGAAAAACCGAGGGAACGAATAAAAAAATAGAGGGAGGGAACTAATTAAAAAAAATCAGAGGGAATGGATTAGCCTGGCTGTTTATTTTTCTCCACCATGACCCCTAAGCGGCTCCGTAAAGGCTAATTAGGTGAGATATAAAATGCAGTCAAATGTATGATCAGGTTAGACCACTTTTGAAGTCTAAAAACATCTGACAAACTTTTTGAAGTGAAATGTTCCTTGAATAAGCGTGTAGCCTATTATTTCATGGTATTTTTATCAGACAGACGCATCACTTAGAATACGAATACGGCTCAAGCAGACTTTTTTTTAACAAATTAGGCAACCTAAAGAGTTTATTTTCCACTTTCATCTGTGACCCAACTACAAAACAATTTCGCTTGTGAAAATCCCAATCCAACAGCGCTCCCTGGTTTCTGATAAGTGTAGCTACATAATGACATTCTCATTTGTAACCTGTGTGCCTTCTGGGCACTGTCACAAATGACACCATATCCCCTATAGGGCACTACCTTTTGCCTTCACCTATAGGGCTCTGGTCAAAAGTAGTAAACCATATAGGGAATAGGGTGCCATGTGGGACAGAACACTAGGCTTTGTCAAGATAGTTTGGTGAACAGACCCCAGACTCGCTGCAACTCTGTCCAATCACCTTTTGCCTATGTTCGAGTTGTCTAAAATTGAATAAAATGTATCAACTCATTTACCCTGATAAATGCAGCACATATGCTGAATCTGATGATGTATGCAAGATAAAAATCTATATACAGAGAACCGATACATTTGAAGAAAAATCAAGGTATAATAATAGACAGTGGCCAAAAACGAAGAGGCAAGATAATAACAGTCCATCTAGTTTAGTTCCTTCAAACAGAAAATTAAGCCGTGACATTCAACATATTTATTAGCACTTGTCTTTTATCTACAGTGGGGAAAAAAAGTATTTAGTCAGCCACCAATTGTGCAAGTTCTCCCACTTAAAAAGATGAGAGAGGCCTGTAATTTTCATCATAGGTACACGTCAACTATGACAGACAAATTGGGGGAAAAAAATCCAGAAAATCACATTGTAGGATTTTTAATGAATTTATTTGCAAATTATGGTGGAAAATAAGTATTTGGTCACCTTCAAACAAGCGAGATTTCTGGCTCTCACAGACCTGTAACTTCTTCTTTAAGAGGCTCATCTGTCCTCCACTCGTTACCTGTATTAATGGCACCTGTTTGAACTTGTTATCAGTATAAAAGACACCTGTCCACAACCTCAAACAGTCACACTCCAAACTCCACTATGGCCAAGACCAAAGAGCTGTCAAAGGACACCAGAAACAAAATTGTAGACCTGCACCAGGCTGGGAAGACTGAATCTGCAATAGGTAAGCAGCTTGGTTTTAAGAAATCAACTGTGGGAGCAATTATTAGGAAATGGAAGACATACAAGACCACTGATAATCTCCCTCGATCTGGGGCTCCACGCAACATCTTACCCCGTGGGGTCAAAATGATCACAAGAACGGTGAGCAAAAATCCCAGAACCACACGTGGGGACCTAGTGAATGACCTACAGAGAGCTGGGACCAAAGTAACAAAGCCTACCATCAGTAACACACTACGCCGCCAGGGACTCAAATCCTGCAGTGCCAGACGTGTCCCCCTGCTTAAGCCAGTACATGTCCAGGCCCGTCTGAAGTTTGCTAGAGTGCATTTGGATGATCCAGAAGAGGATTGGGAGAATGTCATATGGTCAGATGAAACCAAAATAGAACTTTTTGGTCAAAACTCAAAGAATGCTGAGTTGCATCCAAAGAACACCATACCTACTGTGAAGCATGGGGGTGGAAACATCATGCTTTGTGGCTGTTTTTCTGCAAAGGGACCAGGACGACTGATCCATGTAAAGGAAAGAATGAATGGGGCCATGTATCGTGAGATTTTGAGTGAAAACCTCCTTCCATCAGCAAGGGCATTGAAGATGAAAGGTGGCTGGGTCTTTCAGCATGACAATGATCCCAAACACACCGCCCGGGCAACGAAGGAGTGGCTTCGTAAGAAGCATTTCAAGGTCCTGGAGTGGCCTAGCCAGTCTCCAGATCTCAACCCCATAGAAAATCTTTGGAGGGAGTTGAAAGTCCGTGTTGCCCAGCGACAGCCCCAAAACATCACTGCTCTAGAGGAGATCTGCATGGAGGAATGGGCCAAAAAACCAGCAACAGTGTGTGAAAACCTTGTGAAGACTTACAGAAAACGTTTGACCTGTGTCATTGCCAACAAAGGGTATATAACAAAGTATTGAAAAACTTTTGTTATTGACCAAATACTTATTTTCCACCATCATTTGCAAATAAATTCATTAAAAATCTTACAATGTGATTTTCTGGATTTTTTTTTCTAATTTTGTCTGTCATAGTTGACGTGTACCTATGATGAAAATTACAGGCCTCTCTCATCTTTTTAAGTGGGAGAACTTGCACAATTGGTGGCTGACTAAATACTTTTTTTCCCCACTGTATGTCATATGGGAAATGGTCGATTAGGTGTCCTTGCAAAAAGTAGTCCCCAAACCTTACAGCTTTTATATTTTTCAGCAAACGAGCCCCAGTCGTTTGTATACATAAGGAATTAACAACCAACTCACTCTCCCCGTCTGTCAGCCAGTCACAATCGTCACCACCACTCACAAAAGCACGCTGGGGGCTTCTTTTATTCTCGTTTAGCGTTATAATAAAAAGGGGATGGTTGGAGGGGTGTTAGCATGACAGGCCTGACATGGACAGAGAGAGACGCCTGGCAACATTATGTACAAACTGGAATTGGAGGCAGGGAGGGAAACAATTAGACCTGGATTGAAATACTATTAGAGATCATCTCAGGTACTTTATCTGTTCTCGATTGAGCTTGCCTGTTGAAATGGAACCAGTAGAAAAGTCCCAAAAAGGAATGCCACACCCTCCTGGCACCCCAGGCAGGATAAAACAAACTCTCAGTACTTGAACGATTTTCAAACAATATATTAACCCAGGTCTAGGAACTATAAAACAGTATGGCGATGACTGTGTCCTTTTCCTGTGGCGTGTTCCCAGGGACAGGGGTCCTTTTTCTCTGTCCACTCTGGCCCAAAGCCAGCAGACACAGGTTGCCGTGTGTGGGTGTGTGTGTTGGGGCGAGGGGGGATATGGCCAGAGGTTGTTTGGCAACAGAACTGAACCTTTAGGCAGTGTGAGCCCCCCCCAATTACACTCTTTCAGAGACCTATATGTATCATACATGTTATGTATATGTTTCGGTTTCTTTATTGTTCTTTTTTTACAAGATTCCCTGATGGTTGGCAAGGAGGGGAGGAGGGGGACACCGAGGAACATAGAAACTTGTGATGGAGATACCAGTAGTTATAATGTCCGTTGGGGGGAAATGTACCCAGTCTGAATTGAAGAGGGGTGGGGGGGTTGGGACGACGACAGCCTAGCCCTGTCAGTTTGTGGGTTGGTCGGTTGGTTTATTTGCTTGCTGGGTTGTTTGAGTCCGAACACCCCACTCTCTCTCCTCTCCCCGGAGTGCTTCACAAACTGGCCAGACACGCTCTGTGCTGGGGTACAGGTGGTCTCCTCTGTGGAAAGAGAAAAGGGAAAAGAGATTAACTGGCAGGCTGGGGCGGTAGATTTAGGGACGCAGATCAAGCCTAGTCATGGACTAAATAGCATACTCAATTGAAAGCGCTTAATCTATGTTCGCGAAACCGTCCCATAATGTTCCAAAGCAGGACTGTCATACATAACAATGACACATATTCAACATAAATGTATTCTATATCACTCCAATTCTGCTAGCAAGCTTAGGGGACTGACTGACCTATGTGAGCTTCTTGGCTTTGTTGTAGAGTGAGTCCACCACTTTGCTCATGTTCTGAATGGTCTCCAGGGCCGCCTCGTACGTCGTGTCTACTGCAGGATCATCAAAGATGATCAGCACACCCTCACCTTGGTCCAAAATACCTATAGACAGAGAGAGACAGAGAGAGAGAGGGTGTCACATAGGTATATAGTAAAGGCATTAAAAACTCTGACCTAAAAAATGTGATCGTCTTCCTTTAACTTGAAGTTAATTATTACATATAACCAACAACTATGGGACTAATATGACAGGAGGAGGAAATCTGGATTTAAACTCCCCTATGTACAGTGGGGAGAACAAGTATTTGATACACTGCCTATTTTAAAACCTGCAAAATCGGCAGTGTATCAAATACTTGTTCTCCCCACTGTATTTATTTGGAAAGTAAACCTAAAACTTTTAATTTGGCTCTATGCTCCAGCATTTTAGATTAGTCAGCAAGTTTTAGCTTCACTGTCCAAATAAATACATAGAGAAGTGTTGTGTTCACATCTTTCATTATCAGACACCTACCGTGAAATTTTGTGTCCAGAATCATCTGTGACAACTTCCTCTCGACATCTCCCTGTGTAGAAGTGAAGAAACCAAATCAACACACAGCTAACCACACACGCTCACCATAAATGGAGTAAAAAGAACACCAATGATTGATTTTTATTTTTTAAACATTACTGCTTCAGTCAACATTAGAGCAAATTCTTAAAGAGGGAAACGGGCAAGGCAAAATAACAAAATTAAGTAAAAGATGTGCTGACACCAGTGAATGTCCTATTAGTGGAATAAGCTATGACTTACCTTAGAGAGTTTTATGAGGGTGGAAATGTGTTCTATCTGTGGGGCGACAGAACAACACTTGTCAGTAGTCTAGAACACAAAATTCTACAAATATTGCTTTTATAAAACACACCAATTTGAACTTTAGACTTTACAAATCCTTAAAGAATTTTACAAGACGAAAAATCCAAACTGAACAAAGCTAAACAAATACTAGCCTTTTACAAATAGCCTTGTTACGAATTCCCTGCCAGTGACTTATCAGCATCTCACAACCCTTTCAAGCTGCACACTCCACTCCCCATCCCCCACGACCCTAGGGGCACAATAAACTGGCCTCTCAAACATGTGTGTCCTGGGCCCTGATTGGTTGCTAAGAGGCACATTGTTAGGGGGCAGGACACCTGACAACTCTTCTGACTGTGCAGGCCAGTGTCTGTTCACTCCTCTGAGTGGACTTGTGGGATGGAGTGCGTGCAGAACTTTGTTGTTATTATTGTTGTAACGTGTGTGTGTGTGTGTTTAGTACTTACTGTTGGTAGTGTTTAATGATAATTGTTTGCATGTATAGCCTTGATCTATACAGTCCTTTATATTTATACAGTCCTTACCAGTGCTCTTGCTGTGCTACTGTATTGGAATTATGCTCATGCTATGCTAATAGTGTACAGCCTATTCATTACTGTTCATCTCCTGTACTACAGAACCACATCCTTCCTACATCTATTCCCTGTCTGCTGTGAGTGTGTACAGCAATAAAGTTCCCTTGTGTGTAACTCTGAGGTTGCCTCGTTCCCCTCTTACACAGATCAGCCCAAATGGAGTGTCGCTCTCTTTCGAGCCTACTACTTTTAAAAACACAGAAATTCGGATTTTACAGACTTCCCTAATTCTTAAAATAATTTTACAAGAACAAAAGCCTGGTCCTGGACTGAAAAGCATGCCCCCACCTCCACAACATGCCCAGCTGTAAGCTCACCTGGACCCTGGAGAAAGGCTCGATGACACGGATGAGGTTTTGTTCAAGCAGGTTGTCATAGAGCGTGGTCAAGTGTGTGCTTATGATGGGGTCGTCTCTCAACTCCCCTCTGTACTCTGTAAGGGCCTGGAGAGAGAGAGGGGGGGGGATAGAGGTGAGAAATGAGGAAAATACAAGGATATAGATCAAATGTAGCAAAAGAGGGGGATAGAAAGAGAGAGGAAGAGTGAAACAGATGTTAAGGAACCTACAACAGATAACAACGGCAAACGAAAAAATGCATCTGTGCATCAATGCTATTCAGTTCACTCAACATGCTCTTACCTTTTCAAAATCGTCCAGCGACCGGTTCTTGCTGGCTTGTGCCACGCATTTCAGAGAGTCTGTCTGTCTCCCGGCGTGCCGCAGGGCTAGCTTCCCACTGACAAGACCCTGGACCTCCTCAGGACTACAACAAGACAACAGGCTACTCATCCAAGACATCAACTTTCCTCTAAAGCTCTCATCTACACATAACTAACTCCATAGCTAATTGTTGTGCAGCATATTAACTCAAATTCCAAAGTGATATATTGCGTAAGTATAGTATAGTGATTACACATCGATCATCATAACACACAACATATAGAGTTAAGCATTCAGCTGCTTACAGGTTGAGCATGATTTTGCAGAGCAGCATGTATTTGAGAGCGGTGATCGCTCTGGGGTGGTCGATGGAGTCGTAGCCTTCGAAGGCCTCGTAGAAGTAAGAGTAGGCCGTCTTCCAGTCCTTCTCTGCCGCGTGGATGATCCCTGTAGGGGGTGGAGGGGTGAGGAGGCTATCAACCAGGGATGCTCAAATCTGGACCTCGGGTCCTATTGCAATGCTGATTGTCATTCTTGCTCTCTAATCAGGGACTGATTTAGACCCAGGGCACCAGGTGAGTGCAATGAGGTAAAAATGGAGATCAGAGGTACAACTGGAATTTACATCTCAACAACACTGCATGGTCACCTCTGTACGACCAGAAAAGGTCAACCTACAACTATGTCGAGTTAGGATCCAGGCCTTTATGCTTGGTCGATGTGGAAGAGCTGGCTGATGCCCCACCACTTTAAAAAGCTTTAAAATTAAACAGAAAATGTTCAAAAATCACTGAATATCTTTTAAAATTGCAGAGGCCACTCCTACACAGTGGACATAATAGTGAACTAGTGGTGGGTGTTGTATGGGAGGAGGATGGAGGGTAGCGGACCTGACTGCATGTCCAGGGCGGCCTGTAGCTTGGGCGGGCAGTAGATGCCGTTGGCGGTGGTGCGTGCAGAGGTGAGGGCGGCGCGGGCCTTGGGCAGGTTGCTGAGGCCGTGGTACGTCTTGCTCTCCAGCAGCTGCACCTCCACCAGCAGGGCCTTGTCATCCATCTTCTTCAGCTCCTGGAGCAGCTGGGTGCCTGATGGACAGAGGGATGGAAGGAGGGATGGGATGGAGAGAGAGAGGGAGAGACATGAATGAGCACACAAAGCCAGAGTTGGCAGATTTTTAAATGTACTTTAATTGGGACTGGTCAACTGAAGTGTATAATACGTTAACATGTATCTGATGTGCACTTATTAGGAATACCAACTGTATTCATATCCAGCTCTTTTTGTTGTGATCAATATTTCCAGTTTAAGTACAAACAAGCAAAACAACGCACCTAGATGAAGCGCCTCCTGATACCGCTTTGTGTCAAAATACAGAGAGATGAGACGAGCCTGGAGAGAGAAGACAAAGTCAAGGATACCACGCTTCTGGAATCATCTTTACCATAATCATCACCACCAGAGGTCCATTTTAAGAAATACAAATATCAAATTGTCCAATTGGAATGTCAATTCAATTCCTGAATTGACAGACTTGACATGTGTCATCAAGTTCCACCAATGGCCCTTGCAGCAAGAGCAGCAGCGCTACATACAGCGAAACAGACTAAAGAACCCTAAAACGGGCTTAATCTCCATCCACTGTAAAACCGTTTAGTGAGGCGAACCAAACCCCTCATGTCAATGCTCCCCCAGTGGAGTCCCCTCTCCCACTCCTCACCTCCAGGGCCTGTCTGAGGAATGTCCTCTTCTCAGCCTTGGCCCACTCGATGCACTCCAGACACAGCTCCACCTCCTGGCCTGTAGCTGCCTCCATGTCCAGAAACAGGTCCAGCAGCGAGCGCACCAGCCGCGCCGCCTTGGCCTTGCTGATGGAATTCAGGAACGGTCGCACATACTTCAGGAGACCACCCAGCTCTGAGGGACACAGACAGCATTTTGGAGGGGATCAGTTTAAGCAAGGTGAGGAGCAGGAACACTAATGTGTTGATCACAATGACTAGGTATTTGGGATGCAAGGTGATTTGTAGATCAGTAATTCTGGGCAGTCCGCATGCAATGTAATCAATCTCAAACTTGCGCAGAGTCAAGGAGAAACCTTTGAGATACATTTGTCAGCAATTAAGTCTGCTTGGTGTTGCGTTTCCTTGCCATACTGAAGATCATGACAGTCAGTATTAGTGTTGCACGTAATATACCAGTACCACGGTAATATCACGGTACCAAAACGTTACGATACCAACATTTTAGAATACCATAGTACCGTTTCATATGATACTACTGACTATTTCAGCCCTACCGATCTAAAGAACCTGCTGGCGCCTGATATGAAATGTTTATAAAGTCAGCTTTGCTTATAAATTAAGTAGAATTTAAGCAACAGCCACTAGTCTCTTGTATGTGCAGGTCCAATAATATCCACTTCACTTTCATGCGCATATCACGTGTGGCTGCTGTAATCAGCCAGCAGCATCGCCTAGACCCTACCAGCCCTCACTCACCTGCCTCTCTCCGTCCGCTTTTCACGCGTGTCTAATCCTCCATCACTTTCTTTTAATATTTTTTTAAATATAATTTAGCGAGCGGAGATGCAGACCCTGATGAGTCTTCGGTTGTTAGATTTGGAGCTGCGTGCAAAGCGAGCAATGTTGATATGTTGTATCACCTCATCGCCTGTTATAACCATGAGCACAGACCAGTCTGAGAAGACTTTGCAAGTTCACTGTCATGCAGCCTCCGCATGTCAGAGAGGGGAAATGGAGCATCGCTTCACGACAGGCATGCCTGCAGCTTTACAGCAAAGAAAACGGCTAGTTTCTAGCCTAAAAATATCACCCATGTTACCGGAGATGCTTTTTTTCTTTCTATCATGATTCACGCGGATTATATACAGTGGGGAGAACAAGTATTTGATACACTGCCGATTTTGCAGGTTTTCCTACTTACAAAGCATGTAGAGGTCTGTAATTTTATCATAGGTACACTTCAACTGTGAGAGACGGAATCTAAAACAAAAATCCAGAAAATCACATTGTATGATTTTTAAGTAATTAATTAGCATTTTATTGCATGACATAAGTATTTGATCACCTACCAACCAGTAAGAATTCCGGCTCTCACAGACCTGTTAGTTTTTCTTTAAGAAGCCCTCCTGTTCTCCACTCATTACCTGTATTAACTGCACCTGTTTGAACTTGTTACCTGTATAAAAGACACCTGTCCACACACTCAAACAGACTCCAACCTCTCCACAATGGCCAAGACCAGAGAGCTGTGTAAGGACACCAGGGATAAAATTGTAGACCTGCACAAGGCTGGGATGGGCTACAGGACAATAGGCAAGCAGCTTGGTGAGAAGGCAACAACTGTTGGCGCAATTATTAGAAAATGGAAGAAGTTCAAGATGACGGTCAATCACCCTCGGTCTGGGGCTCCATGCAAGATCTCACCTCGTGGGGCATCAATGATCATGAAGAAGGTGAGGGATCAGCCCAGAACTACACGGCAGGACCTGGTCAATGACCTGAAGAGAGCTGGGACCACAGTCTCAAAGAAAACAATTAGTAACACACTACGTCGTCATGGATTAAAATCCTGCAGCGCACGCAAGGTCCCCCTGCTCAAGCCAGCGCATGTCCAGGCCCGTCTGAAGTTTGCCAATGACCATCTGGATGATCCAGAGGAGGAATGGGAGAAGGTCATGTGGTCTGATGAGACAAAAATAGAGCTTTTCGGTCTAAACTCCACTCGCCGTGTTTGGAGGAAGAAGAAGGATGAGTACAACCCCAAGAACACCATCCCAACCGTGAAGCATGGAGGTGGAAACATCATTCTTTGGGGATGCTTTTCTGCTAAGGGGACAGGACGACTGCACCGTATTAAGGGGAGGATGGATGGGGCCATATATCGCGAGATCTTGGCCAACAACCTCCTTCCCTCAGTAAGAGCATTGAAGATGGGTCGTGGCTGGGTATTCCAGCATGACAACGACCCGAAACACACAGCCAGGGCAACTAAGGAGTGGCTCCATAAGAAGCATCTCAAGGTCCTGGAGTGGCCTAGCCAGTCACCAGACCTGAACCCAATAGAAAATCTTTGGAGGGAGCTGAAAGTCCGTATTGCCCAGCGACAGCCCCGAAACCTGAAGGATCTGGAGAAGGTCTGTATGGAGGAGTGGGCCAAAATCCCTGCTGCAGTGTGTGCAAACCTGGTCAAGACCTACAGGAAACGTATGATCTCTGTAATGGCAAACAAAGGTTTCTGTACCAAATATTAAGTTCTGCTTTTCTGATGTATCAAATAATTATGTCATGCAATAAAATGCAAATTAATTACTTAAAAATCATACAATGTGATTTTCTTGATTTTTGTTTTAGATTCCGTCTCTCACAGTTGATGATAAAAAGTACAGACCTCTACATGCTTTGTAAGTAGGAAAATCTGCAAAATCGGCAGTGTATCAAATACTTGTTCTCCCCACTGTATATCATTTCACAAACATGTCTCGGGCCGTTTTAAATGTATCCCGGGTCGCTAATTATTGGTTTGATAACAAACAATGTTGTTCAGTCATGTCATGTTAACTAGCTAGCTAACAACCTGTTAACTTGACAGTAGGTTTAGGCAAATTGGATTGGCACAGGAAGGAAACGGGTCTGCTGCTCATGAGATTTGCTTCAAAAGGGTAGGACACTAATGTAAGCCTAAACTATATCAAAAATCAATTTATTTTTGGTGCTCCTTAAATTCTGTTTGGTGCCTAACGTTTTAAAAGTTGGGAGTAGTGTCTGTATGTGTGTTTGTGGGAGAGAGAGAGTGGTGTGTGTGTGTTTGAGAATGAGGGAGTGTGTGTCTTAACTGAAGAGTAAAGAAGGTTTCATGCAGTGTTTTCCCCTTACTGACACAATGACAAGCAGATCATTATGCATGTATATCCCAGGAGGTTGGTGGCACCTTAATTGGGGAGGACGGGCTTGTGAAAATGGCTGGAGCGGAATGGTATCAAACACATGGTTTCTATGTGTTTGACGCCATTCCATTTGCGCCGTTCCAGCCATTATTATGAGCCATCCTCCCTTCAACAGCCTCCACTGAGGTATAGTCCCTCCTCCCATTCCTCCAACCAAATCACAGGTAGGCCTTTGCAAATATTAGCAAATGAGCCATTCTATGCAGTATTTTATTATACACTGAACAGTGTGAGGTTAAATTCAATGTGTTGTATTGAGTAGAAGTGTGAATTTCAGGGACAGGTTTTTGGAGAACGTTTCAAAAACGTAAACAAGCGTCTGGGGGACGGGGCGAACAGGATGCTAGGCCACAGATAGTCTTGCACCATGGTATCGCAAGACTACTCGGTATTGTTATACTTGGCCTGGTATCGTTTGCTAAATGTTGGTATCGTGACAAGCCTAGTCAGCATCATTCTCTAGTAGAGGTGATGTGTCTACTCTGAGTCTGCACTTGTCCAGCTGAAATCGGAGGGAGGGAGGATATGTTACCTGCAGCCTGGCCCGTCTTAGCCAGCAGACCACCCAGCTCCAGGATGCTCTGCTCTTTGACACGCACCGCCTCCTCATCGCTCTCCTGGATGTCCCGCTTTACTGCAACAAACAATGGAAGAATACTTGTTGACATTGACAGCACAACCTTTTATACGTAGACCTAGCTTAATAGATGGCAACATCTAGGCTATATGTGAGAACAAATGATCAAACTATTATTACTGCCATCATCAGTTTTGTTGTCAAATCAAAGTGGGGGTGCTCACTTATAAGTCACTGCTTTCAGTTGATGGCTAGCTGGGGGAAATCATCCCTGGGTCCAACATTGCACCTAATTCGCTAGCAGTCAAAGTAACAAAGGCTGAGCCACTAGCTGTTGAGCTTCTGCTGTCAATAAATCTGATTTGGCTGGCTCCATTTACAAACAAAAATGTGTAGCTAGTTAGTCATTTCAGTAATGTTAGCTATCTGGCTAACTTTAGCTAGCTATTAGCTATATAACGTTAGGAAAAGGCATTTGTCAGATAGCTATCACATTCGCTAACATTTAGCTAGATTTGTAAATCAAAAACTAAAAACAGAAAAAATAATTTAGCTAGCTAGATGATTCCAATCTTATACGTTCTGCTACAGTAGAAGGTTGGAAATGCCTTTTGTTTAGATTAACACACAGCTGAGCCGGAGCGAGATATGGCTCAGAAAATGTACCTCAATCAAGGGATATAAATGGCATTGTACTCCGAATTGTCCCATTATCCCACCTGCTACACGAGAAGATTGAACGACTGCTAGTTTTAAGTAAACTGCCATTTCTGTCCTTGTGCTAGCTAGCAGTTGCCACTAAATAATGCATTTTAGCCTATTCTTTGATTGAAATACCAGTCGATGTAGCACGAGAGCTGGTGATACAGCTCAAACAGCTTTAATAAGCCCAATCATTTTGTAACAATTCTAAAGGCAATTTGCGTTTAAAAAATGGCCACGATTAAAAAACAGCAATTTTTTTCTCTCAACTGGTAAATGAAGTACGCTTCCCATTCGCCATTCAAGTGCATAGGCAACTAGGCAGGCTTCGGTGCGTCACACACCTCTTTGCAATGAGCTGGAGGCAGTACGCATTTTGAAAGCATAGCCTACTTAATTGTTTGAAATCTGAACGTTTCACTACGAGGCATGTCTTACCTTGCTTCAAAGTAGCCTAGCCAAAATGTGCAGGCAATACTTTTATAAAGACTTCCATATACCATTGAAACCAGTAGCCCTTTTGTCTTATGTTCTATTGGTTTTCAAATCAACTTTCTTTCATTGTCCAGTAGCCAAAGGCACACTCCTAGTCATATTAGCCACCAATGCTAGTTGTTGCATATGCCTATTTAGATCTCCCCTCTTTCTAAATATCTTTATCTCTGTCATATGAAACCGCTCACAATGGTATTTTCCTGCTAATTGCATTATGGAACATACTGTTCAATGCAGCGTGTAGTGGCTTAGAGTGGGCCTAGACTATTGGATATATCAGACCTTACATTTCTTCTCTTTTCTTTACACAGGAAGATGTTGGCCCTTTATAAACACATTTCATGCAATTCTACTACACTTTTTGACTGGAAACATTAGCAATATGACGTCCATCTAACCTGGAGGAGGAAATTCCTGTCCAAAAACAAACAAAAGTGGCACTGACCAAATGATAAAGACAGTGAATATGCACACTCACTGGGGATATGGACGATGATCTCCGCTGGTGCATTTAATTAAGTTGAGAATTTTGATAACTAAAAGACAGATTGGAGACCCCTTGACTTCTTCCACATTTTGTTACATTACAGCCTTATTCTAAAATGGATTAAATTGTTCCCCCCCCCCCTCAATCTACACATAATACCCCATAATGACAAAGCAAAAACAGGTTTTTTAAAATGTTTGCACAAAAAACTGATATATCACATTTACATAAGTATTCAGACCCTTTACTCAGTACTTTGTTGAAGCACCTTTGGCAGCAATTACAGCCTCAAGTCTTCTTGGGTATGACACTACAAGCTTGGCACACCTGTATTTAGGGAGTTTCTCCCATTCTTCTCTGCAGATCCTTTCAAGCTCTTTTAGGTTGCATAGGGAGCGTCGCTGCACAGCTATTTTCAGGTCTCTCCAGAGATGTTCGATCGGGTTCAAATCCGTGCTCTGGCTGGGCCACTCAAGGACATTCAGAGACTTGTCCCGAAGCCACTCCTGCGTTGTCTTGGCTGTGTGCTTAGGGTCATTGTCCTGTTGGAAGGGGAACCGTCACCCCAGTCTGAGGTCCTGAGCGCTCTGGAGCAGGTTTTCATCAAGGATCTTTTTGTACTTTTCTCCATTCATCTTTCCCTCGATCCTGACTAGTCTCCCAGTCCCTGCCGCTGAAAAACATCCCCACAGCATGATGCGGCCACCACCATGCTTCACCGTAAGGATGGTTCCAAGTTTCCTCCAGACGTGAAGCTTGGCATTCAGGCCAAAGAGTTCAATATTGGTTTCCTCAGACCAGAGAATCTTGTTTCTGATGGTCTGGGAGTCCTTGAGGTGCCTTTTGGCAAACTCCAAGTGGGCTGTCATGTGCCTTTTACTGAGGAGTGGCTTCCGTCTGGCCACTACCATAAATGCCTGATTGGTGGAGTGCTGCAGAGATGGTTGTCCTTCTGGAAGGTTCTCCCATCTCCACATAGGAACTCTGGAACTCTGTCAGAATGACCATCGCGTTCTTGGTCACCTCCCTGACCAAGGCCCTTCTCCCCCGATTACTCAGTTTGGCCAGGGAGGCCAGCTCTAGGAAGAGTCTTGGTGGTTCCAAACTTCTTCCATTTAAGAATGATGGAGGCCACTGTGTTCTTGGGGACATTCAATGCTGCAGAAATGTTTTGGTACCCTTCCCCAGATCTGTGCCTCCACACAATCCTGTCTCGGAGCTCTACGGACAATTCCTTCGACCTCATGGCTTGGTTTTTGCTCTGACATGCACTGTCAGCTGTGGGACCTTATATAGACAGGTGTGCCCCTTTCCAAATCATGTCCAATCAATTGAATTTACCACAGGTGGACTCCAATCAAGTTGTAGAAACATCTCAAGGATGATCAATGGAAACAGGATGCACTTGAGCTCAATTTCGAGTCTCATAGCAAAGGGTCTGAATACTTATGTAAATAAGGTATCCTTTCTTTTGGTGAATAAATTTGCAAACATTTCTAAAAACCTGTTTTCGCTTTGTAATTATGGGGTATTGTGTGTAGATTCATTTAATTTAGTGTGCAAATTTATTTAATCAATTTTAGAATAAGGCTGTAACATAAAATGTGGAAAAAGGGAAGGGGTCTGAATACTTTCTGAATGCACTGTATATGGCTGTCTCTGGGAAGTTGTGTCATCCAAATTTTTCTATGTAATGATATTGAATATCGGCGTCCTTGACTCTCAAAAATCTGTATATCTGTCATTCTCTAGTGTGAAGGTACAAACTCTGCCTTCCTGGCGGGTCCAGGGGGAGCAAATCAAGTGCCCTATAGGCCTACCACAGGCCAATCGGATGGCTCAGATTACCGTATCTGCAGTAATGTGAGATTTCAAAATGTTTAAAACCATGACTAGAGAGACTGTCAACGAATACAGCAAAGAGCTACTGGAAAGGTTGAGGGTAGAGGAAGTTCAGGAGTAAAAACAAACAAAATTGAATTATTGTAAAATTGACTGTGTCCATAAAATGTATATAGTATGTATAAGCTGGAAGTAGAGGCCTAAGCATTGTTGTTCACTAGTTACTCCAATTAGGGAAGGGGTGGTGGGGTTGGAAAGTAATAAAGGTAAATATATATTTTTAAAGGATATATATATATATATATATATGCGAGAAAAAAAAACATATGGGGGATTGGAAGTGATGCAGACAATTACATTGATGGAAGTTACAATCTGCAATATTAAAGCTGATCTACCCCCTAAAAAAAAAAAGACTTTTTATGAGCGAGTTCATGTTTAAGTCTTTACTCAGCACTGTCAACACTTTCTATTCAACACAAAATGTGCATTCTCCCTACCTCCATTCGCGCTACAACCAGCACTGCAGCTGCAGTAAATGAGTAGGAAAGTGTATCGAAAGTGTCTTGTTATTATTAGCAGCTTAAGTCTTTTTTAATATCAAGGAATATTTCACTTTCTCTGGTCATAGGAGTAACATGAATTTGTGTGGTGCGACTCGAGTTTAGCCATCAGCAGGAAGACAGTGTCCCTTTCTGGTCAGTGTCAATGGAGAGCGGAAGGATGTTGAGGCGGACCCTCAGTCTGTTACTCCCTCCCTCCGCTGAGACTGACCATCAGAAACAGGCACCATCAGTAAAATAAAAGGTAATTATTTAAATGTATGCTCACTCAGTTGTGCTTCACGAGTAATACAACTGATCTATTACCAGTGTGATCATATACCTCGATTAAAAATATATATAATTTAGCATAGGCTTACGTTTTTTAAAAGTCATGTAAAAAATATATATAATACATCTGAGCGGAAAATATACATCTGAGCGGTAGATCTCGGCTTGAATTTTGACTCAGAAAGTGATCTTGACTCAGAAAAAATGAACAGGGTCTGTGTAGCAGGCGTCCCTATTCTCATAGCCCAAATCCCGGTCTGGTCTGTTGAGTCTGCTTCGCAAACGTTCCCGGAAGTTCCGCTATGTTGCGTCGATGGGGTACAAGGTTGGAATCACTTCTGTCTGTGTCGGAATCTTCTACCATTTAGCTAGCTAGCCAGTAGGACTAGCTAGCAAGCTATTAATTCAATGCGCAAGCAAGAGGGTAGCTAGCTAACGTTACCTACCTAATTGCACACAGCATGCTAGCTACCAGTCTCCCTGCTGCTGACTCACTGTGACCAATGGGGATAGGCCGGTAGCCCGGTACGGTCATTGAGCTAGAGAGTACGGTAGCTACCTAGCTGGCAAGCTACTAGCTAAATTAGCTAGCTAACTGCTCTAACACAGGGACTGTTTTAGCGATAATCTACACATCCGAGACACTTGGATACTACAAGTTATGTTGTAGCTATATACTTACCTATTGAATGTAAAATATCAATAGATGCATTCCGGTCTGAGCTGAGAAGAGACTGGGCTCTTTGAAACTCAGCCACCGCCGCGGCTGCCATCTTGCCTCTTCTCAATGACGGCTTGTTTCCGGTCTGTCCATCAACTTTCCTCTTCTTTTCCTTTGAAGTTAAATGGCGGTTGCCGCCGTCTACTGGACTGGAGTATGTAGCCTATGTTTCACAGACAGAGAAGGATCTTTGCCTAGTGCCCACTAATGTAGTCTCCTAGGCTAGCAGACGGGTTTCACGAGGCTAGTTATCTCCCAAAAATGAAATATAAATGTAAACCTCCTAACCTCTCAACACAGCTTCTCATTGGTCTGGGCTATGGACATCTCCTTGTAAGGGATAGGAACCACCGCTGTTTCCCAGTGGACCCTTAGTGAGGTTTCTATTATTGAGAATTTCGGTTGAGAGGTTAGGAGGTTTACATTTTACATTTTTACTTGTATTTTACTGTGTATTTGAGGTGTAAGGCTACCGCTGTAGACGAAAAGCAATGAGTGAAGAGGTGCATCTGCGACAGCCAAAAGTCGAACACTGTTGTGGTTTTCCTACACCAAGTCTCAGATCAACATGACAGTGTCAACGTGCCATTGTTTATACAAGTTTTTCTTTATAATGTCTAAATAAACATGTTTCTTAACCCCAATATCAAGTGGCGACCCATCATTCAGGGCAGGTGGGGCAGGTGAGCCCCACCTGTTTAGCTTGAGCCCCGCCTGTTTTGCATGTTATTTTGGCATTAATACGTGTCACATATCAGTTTGCAAACAATGTAAAAAAACAACAACATTGAGTTAATAAAGCCGCATACAAACATGGTCTCTTTTTTGCTTTCTTGAGTAAGGCAGCTCCAAAATGCAGGTGCTTTATGTGGTGGTGGGGCAGCCAGCGGAAAATACGGAGCGTAGGGGTTGGTAATGTTCACTAGTTGCGCCGTGATTGGCTCAGTGTTCTGTCACTCATGGGGACACTACGTCACAGCAAAATCTACGGGGAAGCTCGAAAGTTCCAGCCCCTTGGGTGCTGCCATAGAGTTACATTAGAAGTGCCCTTCCAAGAAGGCTCAAGGTCCTTGGCCACAGATAAAATGACATCAAATCACGTCATATCTACTGTAGTTTTGATTGGACTGATCATGTCAACATCATACTTTCAAAATCTTAGCTAGCAAGCTAGACAAGCAGTTATCATCATGAATCACGTCGACTATCTACTGGCAAATCCTTTTAAATCTTTGTCATATGAAGATGAATTATCGATAAAACGTATCGGTGCTCATCGGCCATTGGACATAAACATTACACAACAAGTTGGAAATCGCAAATTCAACAATGAGTGATTTGGAAAGAATAATGGCTAACTGCAAGCGTTGCAAAGCAATCACTAGCCTGCTGTTCAGTTGAGTGGGTGTGTGGTCCAAGTCTGGGTTTAAGGGTCTATTTTCCAGAGTTTTTTTCCCTCTGGTTGCACATGTGACACGTTGGCCAATAGAACGGATGGTAGAGGCGGGTTACCCACTCGCCGACGAATTCTCACAAGGCACCCCAATCTCCTCCCCATGTATTTCCGTATTTTCTTCATTCGAATGATGGGGATTTGGGCCTGGTCTCGGAGAAGCAGTATATCCTTTGTGTCGGACTCATTAAATAAAAAATATTTGTCCAGTTCGAGGTGAGTAATCGCTGTTTTGATATCCAGAAGCTCTTTTCGGTCATAAGAGACGGTAGCAGCAACATTAATGACAATGCCAAAAAACACACAAAATAGCACAGTTGGTTAGGAGCCCGTAAAACGGCAGCCTTCCCCTCCGGCGCCATTACAACAAGTAAGTACTACAGTGTGTAGTATAATATTCTACAGTATACTATAGTTTACTATATAATTCTATATATTAAGTACAGTAGTAGGCCTATTCTATAGTAAACTGTAGTATTATTTCATGTGGGCAGATGGGTCAAAATCGAAGCGAAATATCCTCACTGATAAATGTCCCCACTTTCACTCTTAATGACAGAATGACAGAAATATGTCAGCTGTATGAGGCTCCTCAAGACCTGAACTACAATGGAGAGAACAAACATTTGATTGAACGTCTTCCTTCTATTGGAGCTGATATCCACTTGAGCTGATGAATGGAGATGTTTCACATGTTCCAATGACATGGCTTAAAGGCCCAGCGCAGTCAAAAATGTGATTTTGTTTTATATATATTTCCACACTATGAGGTTGCAATAATACTGTGAAATTGTGAAAATTAAGATAATGCCCTTTTAGTGTAGGAGCTGTTTGAAAAAGCTGCCTGAAATTTCAGCATTTTGACCTGCCTGGTGACATAACTCAGACCACCCCCAGACAGTCCAAGCAACATTCATGCTTGTGAAATTGCTCTTTGCTAAGAAGCTATTTTTGTTTCTTTTTGACCATTTTAATTGCAAACAATCACAGTAAGGTACTTAATTGTTACCTAGAAATGATTTGATATTGAGATAAAACGGCTGCATTGGACCTTTAATTTACTGTAGTGGGTTAAAAAGTGTTTCTTGGTAGTCTTAAACAAATCTACACCTCACTCACATGGTTATGTAGTGGATAAACTCTTGAGTGTGCCGTCTTTAGCCAACTCTCCTGCTATCTCTCTCAGAATGATCTTCTTGATCCAAACCAGTCAGGTTTTAAGACTCAACTGAGACTGCTCTTCTCTGTGTCATGGAGGCTCTCCGCACTGCTAAAGCTAACTCTCTCTCCTCTGCTCTCATCCTTCTAGACCTATCTGCTGCCTTTGATACTGTGAACCATCAGATCCTTCTCTCCACCCTCTCCGAGTTGGGCATCTCCGGCGCTGCTCACTCTTGGATTGCGTCCTACCTGACAGGTCGCTCCTACCAGGTGGCGTGGCGAGAATCTGTCTCCGCACCACGTGCTCTCACCACTGGTGTCCCCCAGGGCTCAGTTATAGGCCCTCTCCTATTCTCTCTATACACCAAGTCACTTGGCTCTGTCATATCCTTACATGGTCTCTCCTATCATTGCTACGCAGACGACACACAATTCATTTTCTCCTTTCCCCCTTCTGATAACCAGGTGGCGAATCGCATCTCTGCATGTCTGGCAGACATATCAGTGTGGATGTCGGATCACCACCTCAAGCTGAACCTCGACAAGACAGACCTGCTCTTCCTCCCGGGGAAGGACTGCCCGCTCCATGATCTCGCCATCACGGTTGACAACTCCATTGTGTCCTCCTCCCAGAGTGCAAAGAACCTTGGCGTGACCCTGGACAACACCCTGTTGTTCTCCGCTAACATCAAAGCGGTGACCCGATCCTGTAGGTTCATGCTCTACAACATTCGCAAAGCGGCACAGGTCCTAATCCAGGCACTTGTCATCTCCCGTCTGGATTACTGCAACTCGCTGTTGGCTGGGCTCCCTGCCTGTGCCATTAAACCCCTACAACTTATCCAGAACGCTGCAGCCCGTCTGGTGTTCAAACTTCCCAAGTTCTCTCCTGTCACCCCACTCCTCCGCACACTCCACTGGCTTCCAGTTGAGGCTCGCATCTACTACAAGACCATGGTGCTTGCCTACGGAACTGTGAGGGGAACGGCACCTCCTTACCTTCAGGCTCTGATCAGACCCTACACCCAAACGAGGGCACTACGTTCATCCACCTCTGGCCTGCTAGCCCCCCTACCTCTACGGAAGCACAGTTCCCGCTCAGCCCAGTCAAAGCTATTCGCTGCTCTGGCACCCCAATGGTGGAACAAGCTCCCCCACAACGCCAGGACAGCGGAGTCACTGACCACCTTCCGGAGACACTTGAAACTCTACCTCTTTAAGGAATACCTGGAATAGTATAAAAGTAATCCTTCTACCCCCCCATAAAAAAATGGCTATCATAAGTTCAATGCACCAATTTGTAAGTCGCTCTGGATAAGAGCGTCTGCTAAATGACGTAAATGTTATGGGCTTAGAAAAAGAAGACACCTGTACCATGTGAGATATAGAGTTGAAATGTATTACATTTTGAGTTTGAATCCCAATATTACACCTTATATACATCACAGAGGACTGAAATATAACAAAACCGTTTGACATAGGATCACCGGATTTTCTGTATTTAAAAATAAATTGTTAATTAATTATTAAAATTATTAAAAATATTAATAATATTCCACCCATGAGGCCACTAGAGGGCGCTTTGGTCATTCGACTGCAGGAAAAAGGTCTACGGCTGTCTTTGACAAACTGATTAAAAAGCTTGGGGACAAAAATATATTTGTTCTCTCTGTTCTTGGGGTCCAAAGCTCAGGGAAGTTAACACTTTTAAACACAATGTTTGTACTTCAGTTCGCAGTAAGTGCAGGGAAATGCACCAGTGTGTAACTCAGGGAGGAAAAAGGTGTAGATTCACGCGCAGAGCGCGACAGGTGTTTTTTTCGCCTTCGCAAAAGGCAGGAATCATAGTCACAGGCAGGCAATGGTCATACACAGGTAGGCAAACTGGCAGGAGAATCAAAAACTAGGACTGAAGGCTATAACTGGTTCTCAAAAACGAGCTATAAAAAGGCTTAGTAGAGTCAAAACAAACAATACCTCACAAGGCACAAACAGAATAAACTGAACTAAATAAGGAGCTGATGAGACCAGGTGAGTAACTAACACAGGTGAAATCAATGAACAAAAATGAAAGACAGGACTACGTTCAAGAACACAAAGAAACAGGATTACGTTCAAGAACACAAGGTGAACTAAGAAAATAAATACAGAACCTTACATTTACGTAGTTATCGAAGGTAGATAAAGACCTGAAAGACTAGCTTCTGTATGACTGTCCTAGTGGTAGATTCAAAAGGGTTAAGATCCCAAGAGCTCAGTTCTGAAACAGCAATGAAGCATGACAACGAATTGGCCACATTCATTATTGGGATAGGTGACTTGACCCTGATCAACATTATGGGAGAAAATCCATCTGAAATGCAAGACTCTTCAGATTTGTGCTCAGGCTTTTCTGAAGGTGGCATCTGTAAAAATCGAACCAAACTGCATATTTGTCC